CATTCAGCGCTCGCGCGCTCTCCTGGAGACCGTATGCTCATGCACACTCGCAGCGCACACACATAATGCCAAGTTCACATTATTCCGTTTGCAGTGCATACGTGGTGCGTATTTTTTCCGCGCTCATGTTAACGGATTAAAGCGTTCACTGCACACAGCTGCGGCCCGGCAGTGCGTTCAGGAGCGGTGAGTCTACACTGCAGCAGTGCAGAGATTGTTTCTTCACCGAGACTATTGCTGCGCTGCAAGCGCTGAATTAAAGCATTGTTTGCAGTAAATATGAACATGGATTGACACGAAAATGTAGTAATTACACCATAAATGCATATAATTAAAGTCTACTGTGTTTCACAGTCAACACATGGCTTTTTGTCTAGGTTTAAAGGGAAAGAGCACTTTTAGATAAACAAGGCAATAATAGATGGCACTCATGGAGGAAGGAAAACAAAGTTCTTTATGCACTGCAGGATTGCTTGTAATAAAGATTTCAATGCAACAGGAAAGGCAGTAGAGCTGACTATTTCTGTCAATGGTAAGTTTGTGATAACGTAAGAAAAGTAGTTTAAATGTTTTGCCACTTGCTTGAGCAACTTAATATATAAATCTAGAAGTAAATGCAAAAGTAAAAAGCATTGAATAATGTGTTGCTTATATTTATTGTGTTTAAACATGTCTGTGAAAGATTGTATTACTGTACTGTATAAAACAGAATTGCAATGCTGAAAAAGCATTTTCAGTGACAATGTTTGGATTTGAAATCAAAATAATGGATAAATGTTGTGTTTGTGGTAAACAGCCACGGATCAGTAGCGGACTCCTGTGTGAAAGCTGCTTCACCTCTCACAAGAGTCACCTAAGAGGGGAATTTCCCCCATTTTCAAAAATAAAATTCAGGCCCTGAATAAATGTCTAAAAATCCTGATTGGAGTATCACTATAAATAGTTATAAATGATAAATAGAAGGCTTTAAAAAGATCGGTATCGGTGATTGGTATCGGCAGATACTGCTGTCTGTGATCGGCGATCGGTGATCGGCCTCAAAAATCCTGATCGGAGCACCCCTAGTACACAACCACCCTATAATGGATCTGATAGGTCTACTCTGATAGGTCATTAACAACTGGTTGTTCAGTTCAGTTCTGTGCACACTGCATAGAATTTTTATATATGCTGGTGTGACTACCTGAATTTTTTGGAAGTTAATCCGGTTGTAGAATGCAGTTGTCACTCCTGTAAATTACCAAAAAAACAATATTGACTGCAGTACAGGATTTGCCTAATGTTATCTCCTATTTTTTACTTCGTTGAAAACAGAGACTGAACTTTCGGTGGCAGATCATCAACCAACGGACCAGTCTGTGGTAAGACATTTTAGTGTTGGATAATACTATCAATATTTGTATGCATATTGTGTTGTGTACAGTTCTGAAAATGTATACACTGTTTTCAAGTTGACAAACTTTTTTTCACATTTATTGTGTAACACCCCTGGCTCGCTGTAACTCTTCATTTTAATGATAGACTGCAAGCCTGGACATATCTGTAGAAAATGTATATATTGATGATAAAACTAAGATGTTCTAATTTGACTAGGAATTAGCTTTCTTGTCGGTGAAGATGTAACATTTTGCTTTTGGAAGATGTTATAAACTACAGCAGTGCTAGTGCATTAAATCATTAACAACTTAACTCATTAACATTGACAAATTATCTATCAAAATACCATTTAAAGGGGTGGTTGATTGTGATTTCACTTTTTTAACTTAAGTTAGTGTGTAATGTTGCTGTTTGAGCATAAACAATTTCTGCAAAGTTATGACACTGAAACTTCAATGCAAATGGAGATATTGTCTTTTAAAATTATGGCAGTTTAATGCCTACAAAAACGGCTCGTAGGGACTACAATGAGCTACTTCCCGGGTTGGTGACATCACAAACTGAATTGGGATTCTGTCTTCTAACGATACTAATGGATTCACAAGTTTCAAAATCAATGTTGTAAAGCAGCGGTTCTTAATCCTGATTATAGAAGCTGAAATTAGAAGCTAACATAAGCAGTGGCATTTACAAATAACAGCGTATCTAAAAGTATGAGACAACAACAAACAAAGAAACATAACATTCTGAAATGTCGTGTAAGAGCCATGCTTGCACAGGTTTTGCGTGATCCTCTTCACTAATATTCTCTGGGGCTCAATCGGGCTCAAATTGATAAGCAATATTGATGACACCATTGTTTAAAATAAAACACCGTAGCACATGCCGCTGAGGTGAGGAGCGTGACATTTCTGCATACGCACTAGGGGTGGGAGAAAAAATCGATCCATCGATGCATCGCGATTCTCTCTCCAACGATTCTGGATCGATTCTGAGCTTAGTTTTAAACCAGATGCACGATGATGCTGAGTTTGCTTTAGAAACACCCATATTCTGCTTGCTTCCAATTCCTCACACACATACATACCTCGAACCTTCCGTAAAATAATCTTTCATAAAGCGAATTACAAGGACATTCGTGGGCTTCATTGCACCAGATGCGCGAGAGACGCGCGCTTTGTTTGATGTTACACGAAGTGTGCAGTCTTGCCCGTCAGTATTTTCCTTACAAATGCTCTACGAACTCATCATTTATGTGGTTTGGAATGCAGTGGACTTATATATTTAAAATATGAACCTCACTAACAGAAGGCTACTTTCAATTTCAAATGCTGACACGCGCTTTGTTTGTGAAGACTGCTCGCGCATGCGGCTGTGCGCGACTCCGTGTAAGTGGTTTAATGCACTTGCGTCTCAAAATGGTTTTATGACGCAAAATTAATGTAAACACAATGTCTTAAGGGATTAAACGGACAGGAAAAACCACATTACTACTTATATTTCAAAAGAGATCCGTGACATCTCCCGCTGTCTATGATGTCATAGTAAAAAACAACAGTAAAGATGAAGAAAAATCACTCACAGTTCTTGAATGGAAAATGGTCAGATAATCTTAAATACTGAAAGCACTCTGTTTGTTGTTTGTGATATGTTTCTATGCTCCTCTTTATTATTTGCTACTCGCTTGTGTAACGAATCAGCTCATGGGAAATATGAATAATTAATCATAACTAGTTATAATTAATAATATAGCTAATGAAATATATATTGTGTGTTTGATTGGTCCAGACGCTACACTTGTATGTTTTTAAGTTATATTAGTTTAAAATTCTTAACATACAACTGTTTTAATTATTTTTTTCAATTTGTAATTATTTTAAATATTACTTAATTACTTATGTAAGGATATGTAAATGTAAGGATTTTAAGATTCTCAAGTCAGTAAACTAATTAATTAATAGGGGGGGGAGTAGATCAAGAATCGTTCTGGAATCGGATCGTGACTCCCAGAATCGGAATTTAGATCGGATCGTGAGGTGACTAAAGATTCCCACCCCTAATGCGCACTAGACAGTTTAGCGAATCACAACCAAGCGGCAACCTTCCGGTGTCTCTCGTGAAACCAACACGGAAGTGACTAAAACTGCAATTCATAGACTGGCCACTAGAGGCTGGTTCCAAAAGGGAGTCAGTCCCATAGACTCCCCATGTTAAAATGCCCAACTTTACAGCAGAAAAAAATGTTTACAGCCTGGTACAAAAAGTAGTTTTGGTCTATATAGCTAATTTTGCCCTTCATGACAACTGTGAGGGGGGTGAATTTTTTTAAAACTCATCCGTTTAAATTATATTAAGCCTTAAAGTTCTGCATAATTAAAGGAGTGGCCGCTTGAGTGACAGGTGGATTGCCACTGCTGTCACCACCGTCGAGCTAGGTGGGCGTGGTTTCAGCAACCAGCTCCCGCCTCTTTGCCCATTTTCGATTATCCGGGAGTGACATGCGGCCAAGATGGCGACGGCCGGCTCCGCCTACTTTAGGCTTCAAAAACGTTCTTCGGAAACCTACGGGTGACGTCACGGACACTAAATCCATGTTTTTATACAGTCTATGATCACAACACACTGGGCCAGCTAACCAATCTGAGCCCATTGCGTATTTCTGAGGGAGGGGCTTCATAAAACCAGGAAATCATCAGAGCGTTTATCGGAGAAGGGACAGAGCGGTGTAGAATAAAGAATAAATCCATGAATGTGTTTACAGATTAATCTTATAAAGAGCACTTGACATCACAGTAGGCGATTACACCTACTGATTGGCAGTGTTAGTTTTAACCTTGAATGCTATGAAAACACATCTAAAACATGAAAGAGCTGTTGTGTGATTTACTGTACAAATATGTGAAACACGAAATCTGAGCTATCTTTTTACAGATTGAAGCTATATAGAAAGAATATAGAAGCAAGTCAAGTCACCTTTATTTATATTAGGGATGCACCGATACCACTTTTTCCAGTACTCGCCCGATACGATACTTTTATTTTTGGTACTTGCCGATACAGAGTACCGATACCGATATTTTTATTGCATTTGTACATTTTTTAAATATTGGGTACAGAAACCAAAAGGGTATGTATAATGTTAGTTGGTTAACTTCATTTATCAAATAGATACAGTCAAACCAAAATTTATTCAGACACCTTCAACATTTCTCACATTATCACAGTTTATTCGCTATAGTTTAGTGGTATCGGTATCGGTGCATCCCTGATTTATATATAAATATAAATAACTTTATACACTTTATACACTGCTCAAAAAAATTAAAGGAACACTTTGAAAACACATCAGGGCCCGTATTCACACTCGTTGCTATGGATGATATGAGCATGCTTACTAATGATGCACACAGTGATTGGCTGAGAGATTTATTCATAGAAATATTGTAGAGCGCGATATTATGTTGCCATATTCAAATAAAGGTTTAAAAAAAAATGTTGCCACGTTCAAATAAAGGTTTTAAAATGCAGGCTAAGTGTCACTAATTAAATAAGTATATGTTCAGCTAATTGTCAGCCTCTTACATGTATACTTCTCGTAAACAATTAATGAATATGCATATAAACAGCCTTTTAATTAACAGAGTAGAATAATCATGGCTGATAGTAAGACATGCAAACATAAAAGAAAACCAAACTGGACGCAAGAACAGCTGTTACATCTTCCCAACTGATTAATGAAAACAAGGATATAATCAAAGGAAAATTTGGAGTTGGGATAACCTCCAAAACCAAAGGCGATATACCTTTTTAAAAGCTCATTATCGTCAAATGTTTCTAAAAATGTTTACGTTCCGAGGCAGATTGCCGGCAACAGCCATTGTAGGATAGTTTGTGATTAGTTTTAGTGACTTAGGAGTCCTCTTCACTACTCCTAACGTTTCACAGATTTAGAAGCCAGTTTTAGTGCTAAAACACTTTGTCAAATACTCTTTGAGCAAAAATTTAGGAGTTCTAAATTTAGGACTGACGCCCATTATTTTTAAAGGGGGTAAAGGGGTCATATGACGTTGCTAAAAAGAACATTATGTTGTGTATTTGGTGTAATGCAATGTGTTTATGTGGTTTAAGGTTAAAAAAACACATTATTTTCCACATAATGTACATTATTGTTGCTCCTCTATGCCCCGCCTTTCTGAAACGCCTTTCGATTTTTACAAAGCTCATCGGTCTGAAAAGCGAGGTGTACGCTGATTGGCCAGCTATCCAGTGCATTGTGATTGGCCGAATACCTCAAGCGTGAATGTTTTGTGAATACGGGCCCAGATCTCAATGGGGAAAAATATCATGCTGGATATCTATACTGATATGGACTGGGTAATGTGTTAGGAACAAAAGGCCACATCGTTTGATGGAAATGAAAATTATCAACCTACAGAGGGCTGAGTTCAAAGACACCCCGAAAATCTAAGTGAAAAAATGATGAAGCAGGCTAATCCATTTTGCTGAAATTTCATTGCAGCAACTCAAAATGGTACTCAGTAGTTTGTATGGCCCCCATGTGCTTGTATGTATGCATGCCTGACAACGTTAGGGCATGCTCCTAAAGAGACGACGGGTATTTCCTCCCAGACCTGGACCAGGGCATCACTGAGCTCCTGGACAGTCTGAGGTGTGAAACATAATGTCCCAGAGGTGTTTTATTGGATTTAGGTCAGGCGAGCATGGGGGCCATTCAATGGTATCAATTCCTTCATCCTCCAGGAACTGCCTGCATACTCTCACCACATGAGGCGTAGGGTCTGACACTTGGTCCAAGGATTTCATCCCGATACCTAATGGCAGTCAGGGTGCCATTGTCTAGCTGGTAGTGCTCATCCTGTTACTCCTTGCACAAAGGAGCAGATACCGGTCCTGCTGATGGGTTAAGGACCTTCTACGGCCCTGTCCAGCTCTCCTAGAGTAACTGCATCTCTCCTCCATGCTC